AGAAAAGTTACTGGACACTATGGCAAAATGAATTTATAAGCAGCGAAGTTCTGACTTTTGAACTGGGTGAACTTACATTTTAGTATAACTAAAAAACAAGGAGAAAGATTTAGCTTAATTCTGTTAAGAGATTAGAGGAGTTGAATCCCCACCACTCCTATTGCCCTAATAAGGAGAGACAATCTGATATCTGGAAGCAAGAGCTTCTCCTCTCACCTAACTCCTCCTTCAGAGGAAAAACCCATCTAATAGGTGAGGGGCGGTGAGGTGGGAGGAGCTCAGCGTGCTGGGCTTGTCCTCTCCTAGATTTGTTTTTTGCCTCCAAAAAGAGCCATTCTGGTTGGTTTGTGGTTGTTCAATTTAGAGGCAAGACATTAGTAGCCACCTGGCCTGTGATTTCCATGTTGTAATCAGCCATATTAGGATTAAGACTATTTCTCCTTCTCAATGATTCCAAACTTGGGAGAGAAAGATAAGTGAGTTGTTTACTTATATTCCACTAAATATATGTTTTATAAAGGTAACGCTTAAGTGATTGATTCTTAGAGATTATTAATTTGTTATAATATACAAACTTAATAATGTGATACCAAAGAATCCTCTACAAGCTGCCTGCTGCACCTTCAGGAAGCTTCCGTGTACTAGCTCTGAGTCTTCAGTATCTTCCTGGCTGCTCTCACAGATAAAAAAAAAGTCTAAGTAAGGCTCTATGCCCAGTGTGGAGTCCAACAAGGGGCTTGAACCCACAAACTCAAGACTTGAGCTGAGATCAAGAGTTGCATGCTTAACCAACTGAGCCATCCAGGAGCCCCTGCTCTCACAGATTTTTACATTTTTTAAAAATTATTTTTATTTGGGGGGGGGTGGGGAGAGGGGGAGAAAGAGAGAGAGAGAGAGAATGAATCCCACCCTGAGCCCCTGAGCCCTGATGTGGGGCTCCATCCCATGACCCTGGGATCATGACCGGAGCTGAAATCAAGAGTCAGACACTTAACTGATGACTCAGCCTCCCAGGTGCTCCAATATACAAGTATTTTAAAGCACTCTGTTATACAAGTTTTGTATGTATACGTAATGCCTTAGAACTAAGACTTAATTTTACCTTAGAAGTACAATATAGCATGGTAGTTACAAACTCTGGAGTGACACTGGGTTTAATCCCGGCTCCATTATTTATATAAACAAAGACACAAAAGCTACATGGAGCCTCTATGTCCGGGTTTCCTCTCCTTGTAACCTAGGAATGATGATAGTACTTACCACATAGAGGTGTTCTAAAGATTTAAAAGGTTAACAAAGAGCTTAGAAATGAGCCTGGCTCATAATCAGTACTATTTAGTGTTATCTATCATTATTCCTATATAGCAATTTTTTTATTGTAAAATTTTTATGACTAACACTTGCCATTTTTACCATCTTTAGGTACACAGTTCAATGGCATTAAGTATATTCACACTGCTGTACGATCACAGCCTTTCATTTCTAGAATGTTTTCATCTTCCCCAAATGAAACTCTGTACACTGAACACTAATGCCTACTTACTCCCTCTTCCTCCTCCCTGGCAACCACCACTCTTTTTGTCTCTATGGATGTGATGGTTCTAGATACCTCATATAAATGGAATCGTACAGTATTTGTCCTTTGGGGTCTGGCTTATTTTACTTAGCATAATGTCCTCAAGGTTCACCCACATTGTAGCACGTGTTGGAATTTCATTGTTTAAAAGTAGTAAACTAAAAACTCTTATACTTTTTACTGTGTCAGTCAACAGACCGAATGTGAAAGTTTTCTGTTCTGTTCTGGAGTTGACAAGCTAAGGAAATCAACTCTTTGAGGGCAAGAACCTATCCATATTGGATACATTTGTATTGCCAACACCCAGCATGATGCTTATCACTTTTAAGTATTTGTTAAAAGAACAAATGAGAAGTATCAGGAGCAATACTGATGGGCCTATAACGGATTCAATTCTGTGCAAGAGGGCATCATGAGCACTTTAGTTTCTGGAGTAAGTTCGGTTTCACTGAAGAGTACATCAGGATTCCAAGCTTAAGTCATAATGCCAGAATATAAGGACAGAGTTGTGTATTAGGTTTAGGAAAAGATAAAAGGAAGCTTGGGAGAATGTTTCAGAATGCACTTCGATATTTTGCTAAGTTAGTGTGAACAGTTCAATCAGAAGCTTCTGAAATATGTGTGCAAAATACTTGATCTATTGTACTGAATTAATATAACAGTACAATGTTATCATGAACATCTAATTTAACCATCTAACTTCACTGAGAATACAGAATCATCACAGAACTCTGTGTTTTGGCTAACACATGCCCCCTGTGACCTACTAATCACTCAAGACATTTTTAGTTTTTGAATAAGGCTCAATACTATTTTTATTTTTTTTTTTTAATTTTTTTTTTCAACGTTTATTTATTTTTGGGACAGAGAGAGACAGAGCATGAACGGGGGAGGAGCAGAGAGAGAGGGAGACACAGAATCGGAAACAGGCTCCAGGCTCTGAGCCATCAGCCCAGAGCCTGATGCGGGGCTCGAACTCACGGACCGCGAGATCGTGACCTGGCTGAAGTCGGACGCTTAACCGACTGCGCCACCCAGGCGCCCCATCAATACTATTTTTAAATCAAGACCAGTCTCTGGCAAATAAGCCATTTTTGTTGGTTTGTTTAATGATGTTGGGGCACACATGGTGCAGCAAACGTGTAGCAATGGGTTTTATAATGCCCTAATCAGAGACAAGGTCTGGATGCTACTGACAGTGTTTTCAGGGACTAAATATGTACCTGGATGTTTTGGTTAGAAGGCAAAAGGATAGTTAATGACAGGTAAGTCAGGTGGCTCAAGTGGCCTGTGTGTGATGATCACATCACAGTGTAATGGAACAGCTAGAACAGAATTTCAGAAACCCTTCAGACAACTCTCGGCAATCTTGAGGGAAACTGTTCAACTTTTATATGATTGAAAAGTATAGTAAGGGACAGAGAAACTAGAATTAAATAATTAAAAATGGTTACAACAATTACTGGGCATTTACTCACTATGAAAGGCACTTTGCTAAGTACTTTATGCTTATTAATCTATTTAATTTTTAGGACAGTCCTTTGAAGAACGTATTATTATACTGTCTTACTGATGACAAAGAGGAGGCTGAGGTTATAAACCTGTTCTAGGTCAAAGGCGCAGATCTGAGGAGAAAAATGCTAAATTTGCCCCCAGTATCTTTCATTACTGTATTTATTAGTCCATAAAACTAAAAAGGAGTAGGAGAAACACTCATTACTTAGATCAGGTTTGGGCCTGGATCTGCTACTATGAGATGCTATCTAGAGGCAGATAAAATATAGGAAAATTTAACAGCTCCAAACTTCAAATTTCATGAATGGTAACTTAAAAAATGTACTTGTAAACACACATGCTGCAGGCAATATGGTACTTTATGAAAATACTGATGCAGGATGGTAGGGTATCCTGAGATGATCAAAACTGTTTCTTTCCTAGAAGGAATTAAGAAGCTTACAGTCTAATTCAAGGGGAGTTGAGTTAGGTACCAGTATACAAGGAAAAAAGAAGGGGGGTAGGGCTAAGTTCTAACAGGACACCAAATATGAAAGGAGCCAACTTTTGGAACTCCAGCTGAAACACCACCATTACAGGGGAGAAAAGCTGAAGTCCCAGCCCAAGAATGAGCAAAGATGAACAGCTGTTTCAGTGAGAGTGAGGTTGTTTCAGTGGAAAGTGAAGAAAAAGGTAAGTTGTTGACTTCTATTAAAATTAATTGTAACAAGAGGAATTAAAGAGCAGGAAATACCTGTTTGTGTGTCATGACTTCTGTCGTCTCCATTCTGAGACTTTTTTACCCAAAAGGCAGCCCTTTATATTAAGTAAAGCCCATGTAGTTATGTGAAGGATACCAAGCAAAACTTAATATTGTCCTTGCTAACAAGATAAAACATGATATCCTAATTAAAAATTAATCAAAGGAGGTGTACCTGGTTGGCTTAGTCCGTTAAGCATCCAATTCTTGATTTTGGCTCAGGTCATGATCTCTTGGTGATAAGACTGAGCCCTGCATCTGGCTGGGTATGGAGCCTACTTGGGATTCTCCCTCTTTCCCTCTCTCTCTGCCAGTCCTCCCACCCCTGCCCACACACTCTCTCTCTCAAAATAAATAAACATTAAAAAAAAAAAGCGCTGGTGTGTCTGACTCTTGATTTCGGTCCAGGCCACGATCTCATGGTTTTGTGGGTTCAAGCCCAGCCTCGGGCTCTGTGCTAGCAGCAGAGAGCCTGCTTGAGAGTCTCTGTCTCTCTCTCCACCCCTCCCCCACTCACAGTTTCTCTCTCAAAATAAATAAACTTATAAAAAAAAAACAAAGCATCAACTTCGGCTCAGGTCATCTCACGGTTCGTAGGTTCAAGCGCCACATCGACCTCTCTGCTGTCAGTGTGCAGCCTGCTTTGGATCTTCTGTCTCCCACCCCCTCTCCCTCCCCCCTACGCACATGCTCTCTCTCTCTCAAAAATAAAATAAACATTTAAAAAAAAAAAAAAAGATAAAAATAATTTTTTTTTTAACGTTTATTTTTGAGACATAGATAGAGCGCCAGCAGGAGAGGGGCAGAGAGAGAGGGAGACACAGAATCTGAAACAGGCTCCAGGCTCTGAGCTGTCAGCATAGAGCCCGACGCGGGGCTCAAACTCACGGACCGCGAGATCATGACCTGAGCCGAAGTTGGCCGCCCAACCGACCGAGCCACCCAGGCGCCCCAAAAATAATTTTAAAAAATTAACCAAAGGGAAAAAGGAGATCTCTCTTCAAATTGGTATCCTGGAGGTTATGAGGTAAAAGCAAATGCCATTATAACCTACTCAGGAAAACCAAGGGCAGTTTTCATTCCCAAGTGCCTAGGTGTTTGGGGGTGATTGGCACATACTAAGAATAAAATAAAATGTCTAAACTCAAAGTTCAGAAAGAATGGTGTACATTACCTTTGTAAGTCAATTTGTCTCTCTGCTGGTGTTGCCTTTTTGGCTATGTCTTGCAGTTTGGGTGCTTTGGCATTACCTGCTTCCAGACCCCCAGGGCTTTCCTGACTGACTGCAGCTCTCTTTCTTCCTTTGCCAAGAGGTTTATTTATATCATCATTTTTGGTTGCATTGCCCTGAGATTCAGACTTCGGTCGACGTCCTCTCCTGGGTTTTGAAGGGGCAGGTGGTCCTGATTCATCTACTTTCTCATCTGTTTTTTGTTGAATATTCTCTGCACCAGCTGCGGTTACTGTTCTTTTCTTTCCTCGGTCACTGCTGATGTTGCCCTGGGTAGTCTGATCAGAATTAATTTCCTAAAAAAGCACAAAACAATTCTATAAACACAAGTTCCTTAAATATCAATGATCTATACTAGAAAGAAGTATTTTGAAAATATTCAAAAGGAGCTGGAATTCCATGGCATTTTTTTTTTTTTT